AGCAGTTGAACTTGCAGCATCCCTGAGGCTGCAGCTGCTTATTGTGTATCTGATAACGTGCAAGTCAGATATTTTGCTCCACTAAACTGATGTTTTGTTGCTCCATGACTCACAGCTTTTCCTTTGCTGTTGATACATCCTCCCATTTCAATATTTAGCTTTTTCTCATTCTGTCCTGGCCACGTTCATGTCCTGGCCACAACCAGCCTGGACAACAGGGTCACAGATCGTTGTCCATCGCCTCTGCTACGTGGCCTCAGCTCCTCTGCCTGACCAGGGCTGAAATGAAATAATTTTGAGTTTTATGTGGCCTCATCTTTGTCAAATCCCAGTGAATGTGGTTACATGATGCCATCGGAATGACTCATTCCCATAATTACATATGTTCTGAGGGGTTATTCCCATTGTATTATTAAAAACTAGTGATGTTGGATTTTTGGCAGGCACTGTCTTCCTCGTATGATCTACAGATTTTGTCAATTAAATGAAGGAAAAGTAGATTTCCAAGAGTTCAGGACAAGACCAGACTTGCATTTGCAGCCCTTTTTCAGTGTGGCACTGAGCTCCCCTGTTTCATTTACAGGATAAAGCAGCCTCAGCCATCTCCCTCTATTGCAGCACTTCCCTGCAGAGCACAAGTGGATTTTGTAGCTCATCTTCAAAATCACAGCAGAAGATCTTGTAGGCAGTTTATCAGCACAGCTCAGTTCCTCAGCCATGGCTTCCCAGGGACTCAGGAGCAGGAGGGAGGGCTCCTTGGCAAAAGGTTCCAGGTGTGACAGGAAAGACAAAGTGATCCTGAACTGTTGCTTTGAATATGGAGTTCCCAAAATGGTGACTGGAACAACAGAGGAACTCGGGAGGGAGGAGAAAAGTGAAGTCAAGAAAAAAGGCAGAAAGGTGTAAGAGGGCTTTGAGAGCCCAGGCTGAGCTGTGGCAGCGGGGTGCAGCCCTGGGAGCCTGTGGGGGCTCAGAGCTGGGCTGCAGAGCCCTGGGCTTCACCCTGGGAACATCTGCCAGCACTGCAGATCCAGCAGGCACCCGTGCTCTGGGAGATAAAGCAGCTAAAGAGGAATGTTTCCCCTGGTTTGATTTGTCAGTCAGGAAAAGTAACTTCTGGCCTTATGGGCTGGGCTCCTCTGTGGCCCTGTCAGTGCCTCTAAACCAGAATTTTCCCTCAGGCTGGAAATTACAATATACCACCTACCTGGCTGCCTCTCTTTTCCTGTTCTTCAAAAATCCTGGAAATTCCAGCAAGCAGCTCCATCCAAACTCTGGTTTGGCATTCAGTTGGTGTGATGTATTACCATGTACATAAATGCCATCAGGGTGATTTATTGATGGTGACTGATTAAATATACTGGTATTTCTGTACTTTTAATATAGATTTTTTAAATGTGATGCCTACCATGTCTCTTTGTGAAGTCTATTGACTTCATAAAATTTGTAAATGTATATCTGAATTATCCCTTTTAGTGTTCTCAGACAATGTAATCCAAACAATAGTTTTGGAGATAACCTCTTTCTCACTATCCTACTTTGTTTCCTTTAATCAAAGCTAAGATTTCTCCTGAGTGAGAAATCATTTAAACATAAACATGGGCTAAGGAGTATATACATTACCTCCAACTCTCTGGGGGTGGAAAGTCAGTGAATTACTGTGTGAGGAGTGTGTGTGCACACAGTTAATTGACTGTAGATGATGAAAAATACTGATTTATATTACCCAGAGAGGGTTAAGAATGTGATAGAAGCAATGTGTGTTTGGTGACATTCATCTTCTTTAGGTTCCAAATCTCAGCAAATAAGAGAGAAATGAAACAGTTCCAAACCCACAACTGCAAGCTGTCCATTACTGCTGTCCCTTTGTTCCCCCATGGCATGGGATGTATTGCTCAAAATCTGAGGAAACAGACCAGAAACCATCCTGCAGATTCTGACTTAATGGAATTCTGTCCAGCAAATAACACCAGGTTGTTCAGCAGGGAAAACAAAGCTGTTTCCTCTGCAGTGGAGCTCCTGACAAAGCATCTGTCTGTCTGTCTGTCTGTGCATCCAGCAGCTGCTTCTCCAGTCCAGCACCGAGCTGAGCAAAGCACAGGCTGGGAGTAGGTGCAGGAGTTGGAGCAGTGACATTCCAGCCATGATCCATGTGGTTCTTTGGCTCCCCATGTGGGCAGAAGGCGCTCAGGAGAGGCTCGCTGTGTCTGTGGACATTTTTGATCAGTTGGGTTTGACTCCAGTTTTAGTGAATAAACAAATGAAGCTGGTTCAGCAAACCCATTTATTGATTTATTTGTTTAAAGGCATGTATTTTACAGTGATGCCATGGAGACAACACCACAACAGGGTAATTTAGTGCATGGAAAGAGAGCATTCACATGTGTGTGAGTTGAGGTGACATCACCCAGCTAAGGACATCTCATCTTGGACTGGGGAGCTCAGTGTGCAGACACTTTGGTCAAAGGCAAAATGTTCCTAAATTCATAAATGAACCAGCTCTCTGGGAGTGGGAATAAGCACAATTCTTGAGCTGACTCAGAAAAAAAAGAAAATAAATTGGATTTATTTTTTCTCCTAATTGTTCTAAAACAATTTAATTTTAAAATCACCCCTACTGAAAAATCTTGGATATTCTTAATATGCATCTTAAACTTCCTGTTGCCTTTGTCCCTTTTCCTTCCCATTTTGCTCTGAAAAAAGGAAGAAAGTAGGGGAAAGGCTACAACAGAAAGAAGTTTGTCAGATTTTCTAATAATCCCTAGAGTTCTCTAAAATAGGTTCTGGTGATTTATTACATGCAGTTTAGTTTTGAAATAGTTGTGCTAATAGTGCCAGGAGTTACTGTAGGGAATCAAGTCATTACCAGAGCCTGATGTAGAAAAGTTTCCTAATGCATTCTCTTTTCCTTAATCCTCGCTGAGAGCTCGGTGGGGATGTGGCTCCAGGAGGCAGGCACAGCGAGCCAGGGAGCTGAGCTTCACCAACGGGTGACTGGTGGGTGCTGGTAAAAGTGGAAGGGAAAATGGTTCTGCTTATGAGCAAAATACTTCTCTCACAGGCTAGAAAATAGAGGAAGGCTGGATCATTCAGCTGGGAAGCTTTCAGAAATCGTATGAACATGATCCGTAAACAACTTAAAGAATGACTTTAAAGAAACTCTTTCTCCCCCTGCTTGGTATGCTGGTCGTTTATCATTGTGCTGAAATGGAATCCCCTTTCAAAGATGTAACAGCTTCTTGTTTACTTAAACACAAAGTGGGCGATAGGCTGAAAGGTTTTTCTGCCAGCAGAGCAGCCACGGAGAGCTTGGTACAGCTCCGGAGCCCAAACAACTGTGCAGCCTCCACATCCTGCCCCGAGCCAGCCCTGGGGAGGCTGGGCGAAGGGAGTTGGGGTGTCCTGTGCCAGAGCTGAGTCCTCAGTGGTCACCTCGAGCCACAGGAGAGAAGCAGGGCTGTGGGTGTGGGCAGGTGACCCTCGGAGAGACCGGGAGCTCTCTCCTGCACACCTGCTGGCTCGCTCTGCCCTCAAACCACAGAGCAGAGCGTGGTGTGGAAGCGAGTACAGCCAAGATTGGATTCACCAGGGTTAGGCTGGGGTGAGGTTTCCCCTGCCAGGGGAATTGGAGCTCCAGCAGCACGTCCCTGATCCACCCTGTGAGCCATAGCACCATCCCTCGGGAGCAGAGAGCTTCTGCTGAACTCTCGAGAAATGAAATGTGTCTCTATGCATTTATACAGAGAAATCACATTTTAAAAGCCCAGGGCAGGGAGGGGGAGCCGCCCTGTGACACTGCCCTGAGCAGAGCAGGCAGCAAACCCACGCAGGGCTCGCCAGGTCTGGCTGGCACAGTCCTCGTCCCAGTTCCTCTGCTCAGGTGTCAGCTCTGGCAGAGCAGGAGAATCCAGGGAATTCCAGCCAGTGGCACGCAGACAGGTAGTTTCTACCCAATTCAAAAATGTGTTTCTCTTCTGCAGGACCCGAGCTGTGCCTCCCCCCTCCCGCCTGCCTCCCTCCTGCCACACGCCAAGGTGGTGGCCGGCCCCAGCTGTCCCCAGCCCGGGATTGTCCCACAGCTGGGACTGACCCAGCGGAGTCACAATGTTTCAGCCACCTGTGGTTTGTTGTAACCTCTCATTTTCTCAATCTGCTGTGTGTTAAGTGGATCCTTCAGTGGGGAATTCCTCGGGGCTCAGCCGGGTGCAGCTGGGGTCCCTCTCGCAGGACGGCTGAGTTGTGGCTGCACTGCAGCTGGCAGCATTTCCTGGGATTTTCTTAAAGCTTTGGTGAGTTTCCCTTCCACAAGTGAGTCTCTGTCCTGTGGGACACCAGCCTCCATAGGGGCCAAGGTATGAACCACACACTCAGGAAGCTGGTTGTCATTTTGATTTTGGGTTTTTTGTTTTTTTTTTTTTTTTTTTAATTTGAAATAGTTCTTTGAAGCAGATTCAGGGCAGATGCCACTGACCTCTTACCACAAACAAGTATTTGCAATGATAAAGTCATACAGCTTAAAACACAAAATAAGGGGTGAGGGAAGAGAAAGAGGCCCCTGCTCTGTGTCTGGGCCCCAGGTCAGGGAGAGTGGCCATGTGGGTTCAGTCTCGTCCCCTGGCTGAGTGGGGCTGTGCTGGGGCTATGTGCTTGGGCTCCATTTGAGGCCTTTGATCATGAAATCAATCCCATGGGGGTCTGGGTCCTTCACTGGCTTATGCTCCACCTCTGCTCCCTGCAGTGTCCCCACAGAGCCCTGGGGACACTGTGGCTTTGCCTCCGTGTGCGCTCCCACTCCTCAGCAGCGTTCCTCCACAGTCCTGGGCGGGGTGTGTGTGCAGCCTCCTTCAGCGTGTGTGTGTGGCCTCTGTCAGTCCGTGGGTCAGTCTGGAGTATATGTCTGTCTCTGGACACGTGTACATGGTGTAGCAGTGCTCTGTTCAATAAAGCTTTCATATACATAGCAGCAATGGAGTCTTGCCATCCGGTGACGCGCTGGCCAGCTACTGGGCAGGGCTAGCGGGCGTCGCGGGCACCGTGGCCCCTCTCTGTCTGTTCTTCCTCTTCTTGGTGCCAGACTTAGTGTCTTTGGTGTCTTTCCGATTTCTATTCCCATTGTCTTGCTTTCCTTGCTCTTCCTTTTTCTTCCTTTTCCCTGCAGTAAAGCAAAGGGGCAGCGTGAGGTGGAGCAAGGTATTGGGGAACAGGTCGGCCCCGTTCCCCTCGTCCTGCCCCACTGGTTAATTCCTCTGCATTTAGTCACTGCTCAGAGCCCTTTCCCCTCAGAAGATTCAACACAGCTGCAATCCTTGTCCATTCTGTAACAAGATAACCAAACCACCATTCATCCTCAAGACTCTAATTCCTGGGAAAACCAGAGCAATTCTGGTAGGGAGCTCCCATCACAGCAGCGCAAAGGAATGCACCCTTGGCTGCTCTCTGGCCAGGGAAGAAAATAAAATGGGGTTTTTTGGCATGGGTTGGACTTGATGATCTTGGAGGTCTCTTCTATCCTTGCCATTCTGTGAATTCTGTAAAATAGCTGGAACCTGTGGCACACAACAAGCTGTGCCAAGGATCACCCCATGGGGGCTGTGCCTCTTCCACCTGCAGCTCTCCCAGCTGCCATCACATCCGCATCCCCTGCACTCCAGAGGAGTCAGGAGCTGCACAGCACATTTGTGGCACTGGACATTTGGCTGGCTACTGTGCCTGAGCTCTCTGGGGTGTGGGGAGGGATGGGGAGCCCCCCAGCTCTGCTCACCTTCGGGGCACTGGTTCTTCTGCACCGTGCAGCGCCGCACCTCCGTGGTTGCAGGACACAGAGACACATCCCCAGAGGGAGCCTGCAGAATCCGCCTTGTTCGGTCTTCATTGCCCTTCTTGAAGCCACAGAGCTTCCTTTTCTTGGAGCAGGGCCCCCACGGCCCCCACTCGCTCATTTCACATTGTGCTGCCAGATAACAAGAGAGCCCAGCTGTAACTCCTGCTCCTGCCTTGCCAGCCCAGGCCATCCCAGAGCCCACCACTGCATCTCTCCCCGCTTAGGCTGCAAGGCAGTCTGTGTTTCCCCAGCAGGTTCCTAAGTCCCTGAGCACCCCTTCCTTGCCACACCACAGCAGCCCTGGGTCACAGCTCACAAACACCAGGGGCTGCTCCCCATCCAGGCTGGTTCCTAGAGGGCTCTACCCCACGACATGGGTACCATGAGGGGCTTGGATCATCATCTAAACCCCCCTGCAGCAGTACCCACGGGCAGACATCAGTGCAGGGCTGCTTACCAGGACTGCTGCACTCCATGGTGCCGTTGGCAGCAGCGTAGCCTTCAGGGCATGTGACGTAACATCTCCCTTTGTGCAAATACAAACCTTCCTTACATTTTGTGCAAAAGTTTCGACTGAAACAGGACTCACAGTTCTCAATTTTGCATTCTGGGGGGGAAAAAAAAGTCAAAAAAATCACCAAAGCCATCATGTAGTCCGATGTGAACAGAAGACTCAAGGAGCTCCACACTGCCAACCCAGGGGTCCCGCAGCAGCCAGGTCTCTGAGCATCCTGCCAGGCCTGGCTGTGCCACTCAGAAGTGAGTTTTCTTTGCACCATTCCCTGTGCAGGACAGCCCTGTGCTGCAGCTCTCACAGCCAGCCAGCAGCAGCCACTGCCAGGCCAGAATCAGGCAGGGTGGGAAGGTTTTGGGCTGGGGTTCAGCTGAGCATCAGTCAGCCAAAGGGAACGGTGCAAAGGATACAGCCCTGGCTCCAGCTGCAGCTACAGGACAGGCTGCACGGAAAGGGAGCTAGATGGAAAGCTGGCTGTGAGGGTGCTGTGCATGGACCTGCCAGGGGAGTGATCCCGTGTTTCCATGTCCAGCTCTTTCTGGTGCTCTGGCTACAAGATGCAAGTCAAGGATTTCACTCAGAGCCGCCTGAGTCTGGCGAGCAGCAGAGCAGAAAAAGAGGCACTAAGTGCCTGAAAGGATCTCCCTCCTCCCAAAGGCTGCCAGTCTGGCAACCCATACAACAAAACTGCCCAGAGGTCCTGCAAGATCCCACATCCACAGCATGCCCGTGCAGTGCTGAGCAGGGCTCTTAGGCTGCCGTGCTCAGCCCTGCCTCACCCCTTCCTTACAGCCACAGCACCTCCTGCACCTGGGCAGAGGCTGCCCTGCAGAGCCCTGCTGTAGCAGGCACAGGAGCTGCAATGGCTCTCTGGTGTTCAGCAGCCTAAGATAGGAAAGGCCAAGTCATGATGCTGGACCTTAGAAGCCCCTCTTTCACCTTTCAGACCCTTGCTTATCTCTCTGTAAGACTATAGGTCACTTTCCCTTGACCCTTACTGTTGGACAATTCCTAAATCCCCTGTACCCGGTATAAAGAGCTACTTTTGCCCAGCTTGTCAGAAGAGCTGTCACTGAGAACCTTCGCAGAAGATCAATAAAGACTTCCCTGTGGAACCTCACACAGCGCTTCTCCCCACGGCTCTTAGCAAGCAAAGAGCTGAAATCACTCAATGAGCTGATAATCACTAAAAGAGCTGAAATCTCCTAAGAGCTGAGCTTGCTAAGGTAGCCTGTGGCTGGGAGCTGCCTGGGAGCTCGGGCAGGCTGTGCTGAACAGGACTGAGCTATCCAGACCATTGCAGCCCACCGGGGACACCCCAAAACCTGGCAGAGGCCACGTTACCCTGCCCACCCCTTCCCTCCAGCCCCACACTCACTGATGCACTTGTTCATGTCTGTATTGCGAAGGCCGAAGTATCCCAGTGGACAAGAAGGCAGGCAGATCCCAATCTGTCGGATATCGTTGCGCTCCAGGAGGATGAAGAGTTTGGGGGAGCACCTCAGGCACCCGTTGAACTCAGAGCACAGGTCACAGCCTCTGGCACAGCCCTGACTCAGCTCGGTGCTGACTGCAAGAGCAGGAGGGAGGCAGTGGTTGGTGCTGGGCTCTGCAGGCACCAGCTGTGACCCCCAACTGCTGGCACCACTGGCAGCAACTGGGGCACAGCAAGGGTCCTGCAGCACTGGCACACTGCAGCACTGCTCTGGATGGCCACAGGAGCCAGATCTGTGCCAAGAATGGGCACAAGAGTCACAGCAGTGGCTGTGCTGAGGAGCAGGACCCTGAAACAGCCACCAGCTGTGCCCAGGGCCCAGCACTGTCCACCCCAGCCTGCTGCCCCCCAGCCCTGGTGCCCGTGTGGGGCAGACAGTAACAGGGGCATGCCCAAGGGGTCCAGCACCTCCTGCTGCCTCCCCTGCAGTGCCTCCATGCCGAGGAGCAGAGTGCATGGCCCTGGAGCAAAACTGTTCCATTAATTCTGTCCGTGCTGTGTCCCAGGCTGGATCTCACTCTGACCCTGCCTATGTTAAATTCTCTCTGGCAGTCAGGAGGTGTCACTGCCCCCAAAATAGAGATGTGTTCTCAGCTCCTACATTCAGTCCAAGAAAAATACTCAATCCCATGTCTTGAGAGTTTTCTGCTTTTAATTATCGTATAAAATGCTGCTTGTTTTGAAACCAATCGCATTCTTTGCAGACTAGAATGCAGGTTATTTTTATTAGTTTATTATGCAAGCCATGTCCTTGTTTATAGAAAAGCTGTGTATTTAAAAGATGTATTCTTTTAAATACCATGTTTACTACACTTCAAAAGCAAGCACAGAGCAGCACAGTGTTCAAGTGCCAGGACTAGAGGTGAGGGAGCTGCTCTGTCCCCCCACCATGACCCAAGAGCTGCTCTGTCCCCCCACCATGACCCAAGAACTGCCCTGTCCCCCTGCCATGACCCAAGAGCTGCTCTGTCCCCCCACCATGACCCAAGAATTGCCCTGTCCCCCTGCCATGACCCAAGAGCTGCCCTGTCCCCCTGCCATGACACAAGAGCTGCTCTGTCCCCCCACCATGACCCAAGAGCTTGGCAGCCCCCGCTGCCTGCCCCAGCCCCATTGCGAGGCCTGTGGCTGTGGGGGCTGCTTCAGCCTTGGGAAAAGACACCGAAGGCAGAGGGGTCCTCAGCTCTCAGCTGCCAGGAGGGTCCCCTGGTCTGGATTGGGACCCCCTGGCACTGTGGGCCTTGGCCCCTCTCCACAGAGACCCCCAGGGATGCAGCCCCATCCCTCCTGCAGTGCTGGGCCCTGGTGCCAAGCTCTGCATCCATGGCAAAGGTATAAACTGGGCTCTCACTGGAAATTGCTCTTTATAGCATTAGCCATGACGTCAGGTTTTCCTTGTTCTCCCAGGGCTCAGCAGTCCCAGTTTTAATATAAAATCAATTTTACTGCCCTGTCCCCCTGCCATGACCCAAGAGCTGCCCTGTCCCCCTGCCATGACACAAGAGCTGCTCTGTCCCCCCACCATGACCCAAGAACTGCCCTGTCCCCCTGCCATGACCCAAGAGCTGCCCTGTCCCCCTGCCATGACACAAGAGCTGCTCTGTCCCCCCACCATGACCCAAGAGCTGCTCTGTCCCCCCACCATGACCCAAGAGCCTGGCAGCCCCCGCTGCCTGCCCCAGCCCCATTGCGAGGCCTGTGGCTGTGGGGGCTGCTTCAGCCTTGGGAAAAGACACCGAAGGCAGAGGGGTCCTCAGCTCTCAGCTGCCAGGAGGGTCCCCTGGTCTGGATTGGGACCCCCTGGCACTGTGGGCCTTGGCCCCTCTCCACAGAGACCCCCAGGGATGCAGCCCCATCCCTCCTGCAGTGCTGGGCCCTGGTGCCAAGCTCTGCATCCATGGCAAAGGTATAAACTGGGCTCTCACTGGAAATTGCTCTTTATAGCATTAGCCATGACGTCAGGTTTTCCTTGTTCTCCCAGGGCTCAGCAGTCCCAGTTTTAATATAAAATCAATTTTCTATAATTTAATTTAAACCAGTTTTAATGTAAAACAGCTCTAACATGAGCTTACATAAAGGAGGGCAAACGCCTGTGGCTGCTCTTGTGCCAGTTCTGCCTGGCTGCCCTGCACGAGCCCCTCCAGGGACCCTCTGGGCTGGAGGCAGAACTGACCCCCCTGTGACCTCAGGGGACAGCTCAGGGCACATGGGGAGTGGGACTGGGGGGTCTCTGCAGGCTCTTGGGGCGCCACAGCCCTGCCCAGCTCTCTGTGCTGCAAACACATTCACACCAGCGCGACCTTCACGGCATCATGCGAGGAAGTAGAGAAGAAAAGCATTTCATACATACTTCGTCTTTGCCTCTTGCCCTTCACCACTTTGCTGCTGCCTGTTAGATCCATCGAGCTCAGAAAAACCACCACCACAAGCAGTCCAAGCTGCATAGTAACTCTCCAGCGCTGCAGCCCCTCCGTCCTGGGGTGGTTGGGGGAGCGTGCTCCACAGCTGGGCTCTCTGCTGCCGCTAAATCCTCTCGGGTGGGATCAGAGCTGAGAGTCTGTGCACGGAGCCAGGGCTGGGACCATATCCACAAACTACAGCAGCGCCAGCCAGCTTAGGTAGCAGGTAACATGGCTCTACCTTCATCCCTGTCCGGAGTGCAGGAGCTCGGCCCTAGTCCCACCGGGGGCTCGGCGCTGCGTTAGCTGCTCGCAGTTCCCAGGGACGCTGGCAGGAACTGCAAAAGAAGAGGAGAACAGGTTAATTTGACAGACAGCATCGCTCCCACAATGGCTGGGGGCGAGCACAGGGGTTATGGGGTGCACTGGGGGTGCTGGCAGATAGTGGCACCCGGAGAGGTGTGGGGAGAACTGTGCTCCAGCCTCATCCATGAGTCCCTGTTCTAATAACGAGCACCCATCTGAATGCTCAGTGCATCTTTGCCATCTGCCAGTGCTGCAAACAGTAGTTAGAGCTGGAACTTGTTTAAAATAGAGCCAGACCCCTGGGCTGCCCTCCCCAAGAGGCAGATGGCTGCTGCGGGTGCCAGGCACACAAGATGTTTCCCATCAAGTGGGCACCTCTGGGGCTGGTAGTCAAGCCTAGCAGAGAGTGAGCCTGCAGTGCCCAGCCGGGGCTGGGGCTGTCTGGGGACGGGGTGGGATCCTCTGCGAGCTGCCCAGAATGCTGCCTTTCTGCTCTGAGGGAATTTCCAAACCTCCCATCTCCCGTTCCCTGAAGCACAGGGCAGGGTCAGCGCTGCCTGCACAGGGAGCTGCTCTGCCCCAGGCTCACCGGCAGAGACAGCCCGGCCAGGGGCAGCGAGCCTGGCATGGGGGAGAGAGCCTGGCATTGGGGGAGAGAGCCTGAGACAGGGGAGAGAGAGCCTGGGACAGGGCAGAGAGCCCAACATGGGGGAGAGAGCCTGGCATGGGGGGAGAGGGCCTGGCATGGGGGAGAGAGCCTGGCATTGGGGGAGAGAGCCTGAGACAGGGGAGAGAGAGCCTGGGACAGGGCAGAGAGCCCAACATGGGGGAGAGAGCCTGGCATGGGGAGAGAGCCTGGCACAGGGCAGAGAGCCTGGCACGGGGCAGTGAGTCTGGCATGGGGCAGCAAGCCTGGCATGGAGCAGAGAACCCAACGTGGGGCAGAGACAGCCTGGCGTGGGGTAGAGAACCCAGCGTGGGGCAGAGAACCCAGCATGGGGCAGAGAGAGCTGCAAGTGCCACGCTGCCCTCACCGAGCCATGGCACAGAGCGGCCCAATGTGCACGGCAGGACAGAGTGATGAGATGGCAACACCAGCAGGCCAGGCTGGCAGCAAACCAATGGCTCTGCATGAACTTGGGGAGAGAGAAGGGAAGATCAGTTGCCCGCCAGCCAGCCAGCCAGCACTCCACAAGTACCATCCTTCCCTGAGAGTGCCCAAACTCTTGCTCAGCTGGCTCCTGACAGGGCATTTCCCTGTAGTTTTCAAGTGGTTTTCCCTGTGCCCGGTGTGAAGGAAGGGCAAGCTCCATGCTGCACCAAGAGATCTGGCACTGCCAAGCCGGGCCCCACTCCTCTGTGCAGCTGGCAGAGCAAAGCCCTGCCAACGGCAGACATTGTGCCGGAATAAAGGCGACAACATTTGCTCTGTGAAGTCAAACGAAACAGAAAATTGTTTTAATCCCTTTATAATAACTGCGCAATCACCGATGCCCCAAACAACTGGTGGCGACAGTGCTGGAAGCGAGCCCGGCCTCCGCCTGGGATGGACTCGGAACCCGGGGGGCTGGTCCCCTCCCTGGCCCACCCTGCCTGGGGGACCTGCTGAAGGGCCGCTGGCCCAGCAGCCCCCTGCTCCAGCCCACCTAAGGGGGTTATGGCCCCACAGCAGAGCGCCTGCAGGGAGGGGGCTGTCCCAGCAGCAGCGTGGGCTGCTGTGACCTGCGTGCCACTGAGCTTTGTGGCAGCACATGGCACAGACACTCCTGGCAGCCCTGGCTCACCTGGGCCATGGCCACTGTCCCCCTGCCCTGGTGGCTCTGAACTTTTCACCGTGTCCCCGCTGCGACTGCCGGGGCAGGAGCCCAGCGCTCGCCATGTGCTTGTCGTTACGGCCCACGGCTGGTCCGCAGGATTTTCAAATAAATAATTAGTCACTTGTGTAAACACCAACTTGTTCTGCACTTCCAAGCCTGTTTGCTGCAAGCGGCTTTATAAACACTGTCAAGTGCTTAAGCCGGGCTGGTGGGAGTACTGACGGAGCTGAGCGCAGGGGGATCCCCGCAGCTCCTCTGCACTGGTGCGGGGACCTGGGGGGCAGCAGGGGGTCGGGACAGGTGGTGTGGGACAGTCCACATGCCCAGCAGGGCCACGGCACCCCGGGGATGCCATCAGTGCAGCACAGCCCAAACTGTCCCGAAGCAGCTCCGGAGGGACCGTGGTGCTCCGGCCGCCCCCGGTGTTTAATTAGGGCGGCTTTGCGGTGCAGCGCGCCCACAGGAAGCACACGCCGTGTTTACACAACACTCACAGCTCGGGCACGGCCTCCCGGCGTGGGCCAGCAGCAGGGATGGATGTCCTGAGGGAGCAAACACAGCCCTGGTGTGCCAAGAGCCAGCGGGACACTCATGCCACCACCACAGACCCCGTTTCTGAGCGCAGCCCAGGGCAGGGAGGTGCCATGGGAAACCTTGAGACCGCAGCACAAACCAAGCGAGCACACACTTCTCCCTTGTTTCCTCACTTTCTAGCCCAAAGAGAGCCTGGGCTTGGCCGTAGCTGCTGCCTCAGCACAGAAAGGCCGCTGGCATTCTAGGTGCTGCCTTGGCAGGCCACACGTGATGCACAGGTCTCCAAATGCCCCCACGAGCACCTGGGGGTCTGTGGTGAGCTGGACTGTCTGGCTGGACTGCCTTCCCCACCCTCACTGCAGGACACGAGTTATGATTCTTTCTGTTACTGCGGCCATCAGTCAAGCTCAGGTTGCTACAAACAATTTCCAGTCTAAACATTCGCAGGATTTATGCCATTATCCAATCTACAGGAAGAATTTGGGGTAACCTGAATTGTTCTGAATTCATTTATGGAGAGACCTGGCCCCTGAATCTGAGATGGCACTAAGCCTTGTTTGCAATTCAATCAGGATAAATTGGTCCTTGGGAGCTCAAATAGAAACCAGAAAATGTAAACCATCCAGATAATTTGCCATTAGTCCTCCTACACACAAGGTGAGAAAGACCAACATTATATCCCCAGGATATTTGAGACCTAATCCACAATAACTAAATTGCTGATATATTGCCTCTTGCTGAATGTACCAGGGATCCCAAATGTAAACAGGCTCTCCAAAGGTTTACTGAGCCTTGGAGAGAAGGACCAGATGCTGGAGGCAGGACAGGCCTGGTTACAGCAGCAGCAGGAATGAACCCCTGGGAACTGCCAACAGCTGCCAACAGCCCAGCTGCGAGGTGGGGAATTTGGGTTTCCAGGTCCTGGATAGAGAATTTGAATTTCCTCTGTGTGATTATGCACAAAGTGGCTTCCTGCAGGAGGAGTCATGGTTTTGCAGGTCCCACATCTCCCAGCCCCACACCAGGGGACAACACCCAGGACACACCACCCCAAAGGCTCCCAGGACACACCACCCTGAGGGCTCCCAGGACACACCACCCTAAGGGCTCCCAGCCCCAGGACACACCACCCCAAAGCCTCCCAGCCCCAGGACACACCACCCAAAGCCTCCCAGCACCAGGGCAGAGTCCAGCTCTGTAAAGTTGTGGGTGGCAGCAGCAGCTCCACGCTGCTCACTCCCCAGCCTGCCTTTGTGGAGCTTTCAACAGCCCCCTCAAACACCAGAGATGGCAGCTGGTTGTCCCTTGTCCCTGTTCCACAGCGCCCAGGGATGTGCCCACGCTGCTGGTGCTCCCTGAGCCCGCTGCCTGCCCTGCCTGTGCCCTGTTCCCTGTGCTGGTGACCCCATGGCAGAGCTCCCTGCCTGCTCCACCAGCCCTGCCGTGGGAGGGAAGGGCTGAGGGAGCATGTTTGGGCCCTCATTCTCTTTGGGAAAGTCCCTCTGTGCTGCTGTGTTCCCAAGGGCTGATGCTCCAGGAGCAGCACTGGGAAACCCTCTGCAGTGGAAGGTCCCACCAGGCTTGGCTGGGCCATCACAGCTGCCACAGGGTGTCTCACATGCCTCTGGCAAACATCTCTGCACGTGCACAGGCACAGCCACTTTGTTCTGCTTAATCCTTGAAGCAATAAAAGACGGCTGCATTAAGTCAAATTTCCGAACCAGAAGGTCTTCATTTGATATTAGATCCCAGTGCCAAGTTCTGCAAAATCCCCAACCCATAAACTTCAGTGAAAAAAATAAAAATAATAAAAGCCCAATCTGGCAGCAGAGCTATCCACAGCATTGTTGAGGTCTGACTTCCTCCACCAGCTCCTGCACTGCATTCCCCGTGCTGTGACACTGAGGAGGGGCTGCTGCTCTTGGCCATCCCTGTGCCCTTCCCTGGCAGTGGGAGCTGCTCCAGGGCCAGCAGCTCCCCAGCCCCTGCAGCTCCCCCACAGTAGCTGCTCCAAGAAACGCTGTGATCCATAGTGCCACAGGCCTCCCTCCAGGAGCAGAGTGCTTCAGCACTGTAAAACATCAGGAAATGTTTTACAGGGGGATTCCCATGGCCCTCATGCCAGCACACAGGCAGCACGCTGCTCTGGAGAAGGAGGAGGAAGGCAGAGCCTGAGGCAGGCTGCAGGATCTGTGCCTGCTGCTGCTCCACAGAACCAGAGCAGCATCTGGAGCTGCACTACAATCACCCTGGCAGGCACAGCTCTGAGCCTGGGGAGCTGACTGCAGTCATGGCAGAGGCAAACCTGTCTCTGTTAGGCACAGCTCGGGTGTGTTTGAGCCTCCTGCAGATCAGTAACTCACCAGAACAGCACAAACAAATTTCAGA